AATAAAGTAACTGAACTGTTCCTGAATTGTCCCGCTGAGTTTCTTGGGCTGAACCTGACAACTAGTGTTGATTCTATAATGGTATAAAGTATTATTTGTTAAGATTGTTATCCCACCTCTCATTCAGGAGCTCAAGATGTCCTCAGATTGTAACATTTATTTGCCAATGACTTGAGTTTCAACTAATGAAGCAAGTGCTACTTTGCAGGTTTAATGTGTAACACAATGGATGTTCTACTATTTTACTATATACTGTAGCAGAATGCAGTTCATGTCCCCCCCACCCCCACAGTCCTTCAATCTCTGCTCAGGGATTTAGTTTCTGGTCTCCTGATTATCCTTGTGGTCTTTCTCTGAACCTGTCTAGTTTGAATCCTTAAAAGAGTAGTCCACAGAATTGGACACCATTTTTGACATTGAATCTGATCAACAGAGAATTTAGCAGAATTTTTACTTCTCATGATTTGGAAACTACAATAATGTAGTTATTGTAGTTCTGTACAGCCACATCACATATACTCAGTTTGTAATTAATAGTATTCCAAATGTTTTTTAAGTGTATGATTGTGGAAATCCAAGTATTCCCCTATCTTAAGAAGATGGTACATGTTTAAAAAACAGACAATCACACACTGCATTAAGCCATACTTTATTGAACAAACCACTATTTGGGTCTGTGCAAGACATAAAATTACAAACAATGGCTCTCCAGCCACAGATCCCTGGTTCACACAGTGAGCTTAAACCAGTGCTGGTTCAAGGGGAATTCTGGGAGTTGAAGTCCACACATCTTAAAAGTTGCCAAGTGAAAAACACTGGCTTAAACCAAAATATAATATGGCTCAGTATGAATCAGGTTGCTTCCACGTGCGTTTCACAAGAAATCAGCAAATCCCTTCATTTTAGGGGGCGGGACACACCAGTAAAAACAAGTGAAGAGGAAATCCAAGAAAATAACGTTCTGTCTAAACTTGCCCGGTTTTCTCTGTGCCGCCCACCGGCGCAGTTTTCAAGGGGAAAAAAATAAGATGTTCAGTTAGCAGGACCTGCCCTCTATCGAAGTATCCTAAATATTTCTCACAACGGGAAACGTACATGCTTTACTCCCTACTATTGACAATCCTCATGCCAAAATCTCACGTGGGCATGCAGCACTTTTGGAAAGCTTGTCTTCTGCAAACTAAAGGCCTAAAAGTTCATCCCCTACGGCGTATGCTTTCTACTGCCTCCGCCGCGTATTAGTCTGCCTCATTTCCCCATGTACATTTTTTAAAGTTTCAGAAGGTTGCACCCATCCAGATGTAAGCTATATATACTAATTATATATTATGTAAGCTATATATACTAATTATCAAGAAGAGAAACGTTCGGCTTGCAGTTAACATTTTGAAAATTATGGCCCTCTAAATAACCGATCTAGACACTACAAATGTAAGGGGAGAACCGCACTCAAGGTAAAATACACGATTGTAAAAAAAACCAAAACCTTGGAAGGACGCCTCTCCCCCAGAAACGAACGCCTCCCTTCCCCTCGGCCGAGCTCTCTAGGAAATGCGCGTGCGCAAGCGGCAGCTTGCTTTTGGCCCAGGCAGCGTGCGGCGGCGGCGGCGCTACGCCTGTGCGTCGGTCACGTGGCCCAGTGGCGGGTTCGTCTGAATTGGGAGGCGGAGGAAGGAAGGAAGCGGGCGAGCGAGCGGGCCGGCCAGGGGGGCGAAGAATCCCGGCTGGGCCAGGCCTTCGAGGGGGCCTAGTGGCGGCTCGATTGAGGACTCGAACAAAAGATCGAGCTTCGTTAACTTTCCAGCAGGGAAGGCAGTTGTTGGAGGCAAGAGGCCTTCGAGAATCAAACGTCTCCCTTTGGGCCTCCTTCGCGGTTTTGGAAGACTTGGGGCAAAAAGGTGATGTTTTGGGATTTGTAAACGGTGCTCTTAGTTCCCGTCAGGAATATAACGAGGGCTGCTTATTTAATATTAATCTCACGTTCACTCCTGTTAAATGTCAGTTATTGCAGTATGCCAAGAAACGCGTAACTTTTAGTGTCTTTCAGACATGGTCACTTTTCAGTGGGACCTATGAAAAGATATAGAGGATATTATTTACTGTAAGACTATAAGATTAAAGTGCAAGTTTAAAATTTGTTATATGATTAGCATTATTTTGTGCCATTTGTTCAAACTTCAATTGTTTTCTCTCTTAACAGGAATATTGGACACTTTATACCATGGCTATGCAAATGCAATGTGATGAGAGCATAGATATATCAACAGAGGAGGAAAGCTTTGGTCCTCAACCTATTTCCCGTTTAGAGGTATCTAATTAACACATATTAATGTAAAAGTTGTATTCGGAGTCATGTCTTCAACAATCACATCTTAAATTCCTATTGATAGTTCCCAAGTACTATTTCAGTGAAAGTTTCAGTGAAACCATTAATTCTGAGCTTTTTTTTATTTTTGATAAAATAAAGCTATATGTCACTAGTACTGTTATAATTTTTTTTTACTTGACAAAAGGTGGCCTGTTTCTTTTTCTATGCAGTCTGTGAAAGAATTTAAGAAAAGGAGGCCTTAAAACTAAGTGTTACCCAAATCTTAAATGTATTTTTTTACTTCTTATTGCTTATAAACAAGGAAGGAAGACAACAATGTTAGCTGTTGATTCTTTATCCAAAATACATTTTCAACAAAAAATAATAGCTGGTTTAATTTTTTAAAAACTTAGAAAATATTTGTACTAAAAGCCAATATTTGCAAAAGAACTTAAAGCTCTGCTTTTGTTTCTTTAAAATTGATGCAAATAACTGAAATAAACAAAAGGTTATAAATGTCAGCTGCTATCTGCAGAGTGCAGGAGCAAATTTCATAGAGTTCAATAGTGGAGCTTACTCTTACATGTATTAGGTTGTTTAGTTTTGTTACCTATTAAATTATACCTGATCAAAGAGTCTACTCTTTGAGTTCTACATTAAATGTGCTGTATGAATAACAATATTTGTTTCTGTAGCAATGTGGAATAAATGCAAATGATGTGAAGAAATTGGAAGAAGCTGGTTTTCACACCGTTGAAGCTGTTGCCTATGCACCAAAGAAGGAATTGATTAATATTAAAGGCATCAGTGAAGCTAAAGCAGACAAAATCCTGGTAATCATGCTTAGCTTAAAGAAGTTCAAAATATGTAATATTTACGTAGCACTGCGTATTAATTATTTGGAAATTGTACTTTATCTTATTGATTTATTGGACTTATATGGCCCCCTATCTCATATAATTATTCTAGGCAGTTCACAACAGTCCATAAAAACAGAAATACCCTTCTCCCCAGGTGCCAGACCAAACAGCCTCCCAGTTGAACCCCCATCCTAGCCCAGTGCTTGGGGGAAGAACCAGGTTTTCACAGCCCTCCAGAAGGCTAAAAGGGTAGGGATCTCTCGGATTTCAGGTGGCAGGCTATTCCAAATGGCTGGGGTGGCCACCCAGAAGGCGCATCTCCAAAGTCCCATCAGATGACAACATTTAAGGGAGCAGACCTGGAGCATGCCCACCCTATCATATACTTTTTGAAAGTGGTTGATTGTATACCTTTTTTTTTTTAAGGATTATAAAAACATATGTGAGAGCTTTAACACAAGAATGCAAATGAAATAATTGAGATGTAAAATAAAACCAATCTTTTGATTCCACTGTCTTTCCCAGGCTGAAGCAGCAAAGTTGGTTCCAATGGGATTCACCACAGCTACAGAGTTTCATCAACGACGCTCAGAGATAATTCAAATTACCACTGGATCCAAAGAACTTGATAAGCTCCTTCAAGGTACAACATTTGATTTACAGTTAGCCCTGAAGTTATGAATAGTTTTATTACATGTTGTAAAATCAAAAGCCAAGTATAGAAGATGACATAAACAAAATACACACTGTGACAGTTTTAGTGTTAATATAATAACACTGACACTCCCTGAGTGATCGCCAATTATTCTGGATCTTTTTATTTTTTATTTATTATTGTAATTTTGTAATTTTAATTGTTTTGTAAACCGCCCAAAGTTGTTTAACGAGATGGGCAGTGACAAATTCAATAAATAAAATAAATATAAATAAATAAATAAGGAAAGAGCATATTTTGAGGCCTCATAAACCTTGCATTTCATATTTATATTATAGTTCTGTGCAGACTTAATACAGTGATGCTTACTTCTGAAAAAATGGTAGGAGAGCATTGCTAAACACTTGTAGAGATTGTTTCCCAAGGTATTTAAGGTCCATTCATACTCTCATTCCTCCTAAAAGAGTTGCTGCAAAAATAATCTCATTCAACGAAGGAATAATAGCGGCATCCTAATAAGGCCACATGGAAATCTTTATCTAGTTGCTGAATAACACTAAACAGTTTTCATAAGAAATCAGAATAAAAAAGCTGTTGTGCAGTATGATTATTTACCTAATCAACAATTTCTATTATCTGAATTCTGTTCATTATGTACCTTGTAACTGAAACTTGTAAAAGCACTTTATAAATTGTTCAACATAGGTTATATTTGCAGAAATAAGAAATCAAAGTGATTTGCAGATCTCTACAAGTTTGAATTTAAACGTGTTTGATACATATCTAGTGTGTGTATTTGTGTGTCTACAGTTATTGCGATATGCCTGAAATTTGTACTTCTTGTCCAGGTGGAATAGAAACTGGATCAATAACAGAGATGTTTGGAGAATTCCGCACGGGAAAAACTCAGTTATGTCACATGCTGGCTGTAACCTGTCAAGTAAGCAGCTGAAACTCTTCTTTGTGTAATACTGTGCAGAACTATCTTTAGAATTTATTTTATTCCATATATTTTAATTACATGAATATCATTTTCATGACTGGGAAGATAATGCAGTAAGATTAGAGTTCTGTAGTCCTTTTGACTGTGAAGGCTCAATTAGATGTTTGGCTGATGACTTTGATTTGGATGTCTTGGTTTCACTGAGGTGGAGGATGCTGCAGTCTTTAAATATGTCATTAGGGCAGAACATCTTTAAATTAAGTACAAGTATGTTCTAGAAGTTGAAAGCTAAATTAGATATTTGATAGCAGATCCAAGTATGGGAACTTGCAGGCCTGGTAGATGTAGAATTTTATGATTTATACTAAAATGGAAAATAGTCCTTAATTGTTCCCACAACTATAATTTCCACTACTAGCCCCCCTTTCCACAACAGTGGATTCATTTGCTATATCCTCATTCAGTTGATAGCTCTTAGAATGAAATTATACAGTAGTTTTCCTCAGTCAACTTTAATGTCTTATGTGGTGAAATTTGCCCCATAAAATCCTATTTATATTATAAAAACATTAACCATTGTATATAAGCTATACATTATTAGATGTTTTATAGGCATTTCAGTAGTTTGATTGTTATTTAAAGTTGTTCGTCTTAAACTGGCCTCTTCTTCAACTACCCCTTTATTCATTTTCCTTTTAGCAAACCTATTAAATAAATCCTTTCTTTTAAGAATTACAAGCAAAATAATTTTGGTTTGTTTGGTTGTCAGTTTGTATTTCTAGGTGATTGCAAGACAACACTCCAACAGCTAAATGTAATGGATTGTATCCAGTGATGTCTGTTCACTGATAGAACAAATTACTTCTAAATGTACACACGTCAAATTGGCTCTGGAGGATTGGGGGGTCCTCTGCAGCAAGTTTAGAGAAAGCATGGGTAATTGGATTAGGACGGGGGGTCTCCTCACATAACACTGGGTACAAGAGGTTGTATGGAACTATTCGTATCATAGAAAGATGCAATTTGGGTTAGTTTTTGTAGAAACCAAAACACTTCTATAAACTGAATTGATCTTTCTTTTCTAAGCTCCCTATCGATCGAGGTGGTGGTGAAGGGAAGGCCATGTACATAGACACAGAAGGCACTTTCCGTCCTGAGCGTTTGCTAGCTGTGGCTGAGAGGTCTGTACTTCTATCTGGAAATTATTGGTGGTAATCCTGAATTTAGGAATTATAGTGCCATCCATTGACAATAGTATTTAAGTAACATGCATTTATTTCCACTCTGATAAAATTGATTTATTTTCATAAACATGTTTTTGAAAATGCCTATTGTTTGCTTAGTAAAATTAATAAATTTGCATCTGTCCTAAAGGGATTGCTAAACTTTTGTTCAAAACTGAGATTATCTTTCCTCTGCCTTATTTCCCTAGATATGGTTTATCTGGCAGTGATGTACTTGATAATGTGGCTTACGCTCGAGGATTCAACACAGACCATCAAACCCAGCTCCTTTATCAAGCATCTGCTATGATGACTGAATCGAGGTAAAAAAAAGAGGTCAAGAAGCCAGAGTTTTCTTCTTTAACAAATTAAAATATTTATATTTAAAAGATGCACAATTTTGTTTACACATCATTTTATACAAATTCTCTAACAATGGAAAGATAATGGCATAAAAACCCTCTTTGGTTGTTTCATATAGAAGCTCTGATGATAAAATTGCCTTTCAAAATAAGCAAGCTGTGATTGCTACAGGTTTGCCTGCTTCTAGGAGTGT